GCAGTGCCACAGCACTTAATGAGTCTTTCTCCAATCTTGAGAATGTCATGTTCTTCTTCATATAATTCAGTTTCTCAGTTTATTTGCTTAGCATACAGATTGCACTATTGTTGTTAGGTATAGTGTGGTGAAATATGGTATCCTGACCCACAGTTTTCCTAATTTTAAGTCATTCAGGATGTTCTTGTTCTGTCCTAACTACTGCCTCTTGATCTACATACAGATTCCACATAAGCACAATTAAGTGATCTGGAAAACCCATTCTTCCCAATGTTATCCATTGTTTCTATGATCCACACAGTCAAAAGTCTGAACACCCAATAAAACACAATAAACATCTTTCTGTTATTGTCTGTTTTCAACCAAGATCCATCTGAGGCCAGCAATGAGATCCCTAGTTCCAAGTCCTCTTCTGAATCTGGCTTGAGTTTCTGGAAGTTCCCAGTAAAAATACTGTTCGGCCATTTTTTAATTATCTTCAGCAAAATTTTGCTTACATGTGTTATTAAATACATTGTTCAATGATTTCTACATTCTGTTTGGTCCCCTTTCTTTGGGATGGGCACAGCTATGGATCTTTTCCAATTGGTTCACCGTGTTGCTGTCTTCCAAATTTCCTGGCATCAATAAGTAAGTGCCTCCAGTGCTACAACAGTTTGTTGAAATATTTCAATTTGTCTTCCAACAATCTCAGGAGACTTGTTTTTGAAATTTCTTCACTGCAGCTTGGACTTATTTCTTCAATACCATAAGTTTGTGATCTTGAAATGGTTTGAGTGCCAACCAGTTCTCTTTGGTACAGTGACTCTGCATTCCTTCCATTTTCTTTTGATGCTTCCTGCACCTCTCAATGCTTTGCCCATGGAATTCTTCAATATTGCAACCCGAGGCTTGAATATTTTTCAGTTCTTTCAGTTTGAGAAATGCTGAGCTTGTTCTTCGCTTTTGGTTTTCTAACTCCAGGTGCTTGCACATTTCATTATAATACTTTAATTTGTCTTCTCAAACTGCCCTTTGAAATTTTCAGTGCAGCTCTTTTGCTTCAACATTCTTTCAGATGATTTCACTTTTGTATGTTCTCACATCTTCTTTGATCTTTTCTTTCTTTTCTCTCTCTTAATGACCTTTTGCTATTTTCATGCATGATGTTCTTGATGTCATCCCACAACTCTTCTGGACTTTGGTTATTAGTGTCTAGTCAAATGCATCAAATACAATCTTGAGATGGTCTCTAAATTCCGGTGGAATATATTCAAGGTCATATTTTGGCTCTCATGGACTTGTTTTAATTTTCTTCAGCTTCAGTCTGAATTTGTAGATGAGCAATTGATGGTCTGCTCCACAGTCTGCGCTGGCTTTATTTTGGCTGATGATAGTGAGATTCTCTATTGTCTCTTCCCACAGTTGTAAACAATTTGATTCCTGTATATTCTATCTGGTGAGGTACATGTGCATGTGTATAGTCATCTTTTATGCTGTTGAAAAAAAGTATTTGCAATGATTAAGTCATTTGTCCTATAAAATTTTCTTATGATTTCGCCAGCATTTTTTTTTTTTTATCACCAGTACCATATTTCCAACTACTGATCCTTCCTCTTTCTTTCTAACTTTCTTCGCATTCTAATCACCAGTAACTATCACTGCATCTTGAATACATATGTGATCGATTTCAAACCGAAGTAGTTAGTAGAATTTTTCAACTTATTCATCAGGGACTTCACTGGTTGGTGTGTAAGTATGAATAATAATGGTATTAACTGATTTTCCTTTTAGGCAAAGACAGTATTTTATTTCAGGATAGATTTTGAAATTTTCTTTTTCATTATTAAATTGATGCATTCATCTTAAATTTGTTGCTCCTGGCATAGTAAACCATATGACAGTCTGATTCAGAATGGTAATTATCAGTCCATTTCAGTTCACTGATGCTAAGGATATTGATCTTTATGTATTCCATTTCATTTTGATGACTCCAGTCTTCCTAGACATATACTTTGTACATTTCAGGTTCCAATTATTAATGGACATTTATATCAGCTAGACCTCAAATAGTCCACTAAGGGCTATGACCAATTTGAATGAGACTTAAAACTCAGCTCTGTTCAGCAATCCCATGGATTGGGATATCACAGCATGTTGCCTAGATACCTGGAGATCTGTTAACTATTTCTATTTGGCACCAACTTGTGCTCTGGCTTCTCATGTCCGAAAGGAGTTAAGGACAAAGCCAATAATATCAGCTTAGGTCCACAGCATGGTAACCAAAGAAGAACAGGACTTAGGTACTCTAAGCAAAGAGTGTTCTGCTACTGAAAGCCAAAGCAACAGTAACAAAATGTAACAAAATGATTCCCTCAGTCCGCACCCTAGCAAAATTTGCCAGCTTCCCTTCTTCAGGAAAAATGAGATAGGAGCTGTTAAGAACTCTAAATTAAACCAAAGCAAATCAAACCCACCCACTACCATCGAGTCAATTCTGATTCATAGTGAACATTTAGAGAGGACTTTTGAAGCTGTAAATCCTTACAGGAGCAGAAGTCTCATCTTTCTCCCATGGAGTGGCTGGTGAGTTTGAACTACCAACCGTGTAGTTAGCAGTCCAGTACTTATTTTACAGTGCCACCAGGACTAGGTGAACAGTAAATTGAGCACATACTATGAAGCTAAACTATTTGGGTTATACATAACTAACTCTGGTACTCTGAGGATGTTGCAACCTCATCTGCAGAATGTGTCTCAAAGGAGCACCCACTCTGAGGCACACCACGGCATTAATTGGCTGAGCCCGGGGACTGCAGAGAAAGTCTTAGCACATGTTAGCAATGATGTGATGATGGCATTACAACCACCCAGTCCCCACTGGAACCTCCCTCACAGCCCTTCTCACAAATGACTCTCTTTTGCCTCTTGGGGAATTGGCAGAGAAGACTGTAGAAATCCAGACATAAAATTCTTCTTCAACAAGACATGTCTTCTAGAAAAAAAAAAAAGGTGTATAGTAGCCAGGAAGTAGGAAGTGAAGAATATAAGTTGCTGATTCTTTTTTGTTGTTGTTTAAAAATTTTCCCCAGGCAATGCAAGGGAAAGCAAGTAAGCTTTTAACAGGCTCTCCATGGTGGTGGTAAGTTATCTTCCAAGGACCTTGTGCTGGCCCCGAGAAGGGAAAGTGTGAACCGGAGGAATAGTTGGAAAGCTGTCTAGAAACACAAAGGTGGCCCTGAGGCAGGAGCCAGGCACTGACAAGCTTTGACAAGATGTGGAGGCAGTAGGACTGGGGAAAGGGCATCTTTGGGAGGGAGGGATGCTCCTGGCCCAAATGTGGTTCACTTTGAAAAAATGCTAATGAGATGCTGGTGAAATGCAGAGCAGTAACCTTCTCACAGCAAGAGGACAATAAAAACCACCACCTCACTAATAGTGGCAGAATTCAAGTGAAGCTGGAAGATCCATACTGGCCTGCTGAGGCTAGTTACTTGAACCACCAGGTTGGCACAGCATTCTGTTTGTGTCTTGTAGTATAAGGAAGCCCATTATTACTAACATGTGCTGCAAGTGTTCATTAGCAGTGAAGGTTCCCCAAGGACTGGCATAAATGATGTGATCCCATTTTTCCCAATGAATATTTATAAGCAGACCAAGTTGGAATCTATTTATTGGATATCCTTTTTTTTCTTCTTCTTCTTTTATGTGCGGTTTTATGTCTGAGGTTTTTTTAAAGCAAGACTAATTAGGTTTTTTTTCTTTCTTTCTTTCTTTTATTTTTTTTTTCTCCCTCCTTTATTCAGTTGTGCAATAGCAACAGCTGTTGTTTTTTCTGTACCTCATTTGGCACTCAAATAAAAACAGCAACTTTTTGTTTATAATAATAGCAGATGTGAATAAAATTAAAAGCTTTCTTTATCAGAGAAGGAGGACATGTCCTGAATATATGGATATGTTTTTTAATTTACTGGAAGGTACTGAATAGGTTTGACATTTTCCCAAAATGCACAAAACCTTGAAAGATTTCAAGTTGCTGAGGTGAATTCAATGAAGCTCATACTTTAAAAGATAATGAGTACTTTATTCAATGCGCTGGAACTACGGGTCTCTGAAAAGAGTAATTTCCATAAGATGGAACACTAGTTCCATCTGCGGCTCTGACGCAGGCCAGAATAAGAGAGGAGACAGTTCGGTAAAGGGCCTGTGGGTTGTTGCTAGGCAGTAGAAGATTCTTGGGGAATTTATTAAGTGTGGCACTGTGGATCAGCACTGGACCTTGAAGCACAAGGACGGCAGTTCAAACCCACCAGCTGCTCCTCAAAACCCTGTACAGGGTCACTATGAGTTGGAACCGACTCGACTGCACTTAACAACAACAAAAAGGGGACTTCAAAAATTTGTGGAAATTTTCCATTATCTTTCAATTTCCATTTTCAACCAACTTTGTGAAGCCCCCTCATATTACATCAAACGGCTACTAGAAGAAAACTCTAGTTTGAGAAAAGAGAGACAAAGGAGAAAAAGCTAAGGACGAATATGATGTCATACCGAAAACCCAGAAAAGTAAAAGAAGAGAGCAGATATATCAGGAGTCTGGGAAGTTAAATCAAAGAATTGGTGGAAACAAACCAGAAATAGATGAATTCAGACAAGGATAAGGTAAGACATATTTTCATACCAGACTAGAATCTGAATTGTTGTTGTTAAGTGCTGTCGAGTCAGTTCTGTCTCATAGCAACCCTGTATAGCGTTTCTGAGGAGCAGCTGGTGAGTTTGAACCACCGACCTTGTGCTTCAAACTAATCTTGAGGTAGAGCACTTACCCTATAGCGCCACACCAGGACTCTAGAATTAGAACTGTAAAAAAGCAGGAGGTAGACTTCGCAAAGAAATGCTGGCTGTTGGGGAAATCGAACACTTTGAGGGATCAGGCTTCTATGTTCGAAAGATAATGTGGGGTCATGCCATACATAACACATTTCCCAAGACTTGACAATAACGAAAAAATCAGCCTGTACCTGAGGGCAGCTGCTGATGGGAACGCACTGCTTCTTGCGACACTCTGTCTTGCCTTTCACACAAGCACAGATGGTGCAGTTAACAGAGGACCACATCTCTCCATCCTATGGGAGAGAGCACAGGATTCTGCCATCAGCGGGAGGCAGGGAGGAGCAAATCCAGCAGACAGCTGTTTCTCTGTTGAGGAAAGCATCCCTTACCTGGATTAAGTTGTTCCATCATTAGACTAAGAGACTCTAAGGTTTCTATACTCCCAGTCAGGTTTTAGATGAAGATCAGTGAGGATTTGGGGGTGCGTGTATATGGGTGTGCGTGTATATGCATGTGTGTGTGTGCACGCACATGTGTATGTCTGTGTATGAGACTACATGTGTGTTCCCTTCTCAGGATTCAAAAAGAATGTTTGTGTGTCTAGTCAGGTGGTATTTTCATCTTCCTCTTCATGCACTGTTTACTTCTTTTCACTCTGCATGAGAGTCAAATATGAAATTTCATACATGATGCAATAACAAAAATTTAATTTCCCCTGTGCAAAATGTTTAGGCTATCTTGGGCATCAGTAGTTTAATTGTGATGTGCAGAGAGGTTTAGTTTATTCCCAGATGTGCCATTGTTCGAGACCACACAGGGCATGGATATGCAAAGAAGAGGAATTCAAAGACTCTAAGTATCCAGGCAGACATCTGATTTGTAAGTCATTTAAAATGCTGAGCCCATGCAGAATATTCCAAGAAGCACTCAGATAAAGTACTATCTTTCTAAAATGTAGGGTATCACCTTGGAACATATTTCTTAGACTCTTGTTTGGCCTGAAAGGCCTGTCTGAAAACTTGATTCGACTCATTGCAAGTGCCAAATGGCCAGGGGCACAAGGAGACTGTACCCTTGAACACACAGTTATATGCATCCTTGTTGGTGGGAGAAAAGATTACAGGCAAGAGTCAGGTCTGACAATAAAATCAGGATTCCTTCCTGACTCTGTGGATCTAAGGGATTTGTCAAAGAAAAAGAAATCAGATCTCTGATGACAACAAGTCCTCCTCAGCTTTTGAAGACATTATAAGAGCTAACTACTGTTGTAACTTTTATTTGTTAGGAGAGAAAGATCTAAAGGTATCTGTCTTAAAGGACACCTAGCAGTTCCAACACTCGTGAAAACAGCGGTCAAGAGATCAGACGACATATTGCATTGGGCAAATCTGCTGCACAGGAACTTTTTAAAGTATTGAAGAGCAGAGATGTCGCTTGAGGACTAAGGTGCGCCTGACCCAAGCCATGGTATTTTCAGTAACCTCATATGGATTCGAAAGCTGGACAGTGAATAAGGAAGATCATAGAAGAATTGATGCCTTTGAGTTGTGGTGTTGGAGGAGAATACTGAAAGTGCCGTGGACTGCCAAAAGAATCAATAGATCTGTTTTGGAAGAAGTACAACCAGAGTGCTCCTTAGAGGCCAAGATGGCTAAGCTTCGTCTCTCCTACTTTGGACACATTGTCCGGAGAGAACAGTAGCTGGAGAAGGATGTCATGCTGGGTAAGGTGGAGGGTCAGAGAAAAAGAGGAAGACCCCCAACGAGATGGATCAGCCAGGTGGCATCATTGATGGCATCAAGTGTGGCAGCGGTAGTGAGGTTGGCCCAGGATCGGACATGGTTTCGTTCTGCTGTGCATGGGGTCGCTATGAGTCAGTTCCGACTCGATGGCACCTGACAACAACAACAAGCAGTTCCAAGTTCTCTAGATACATATTTCTGGTGCTCATTGTTTCAAGGATGACTCTGTAAATTATGTCAACCTCAGTCACTAAAAGGAACTTTCTTACAAGGAAAATCAAAAGTGTCTTTCACACAACACCAACATGAGGGTGAATCTATTCCATCTGGGTACTCTGGAGACCAAGGGAGACTTTAGGTAATATGGACACATGAGTGGCAAGTAAAAATACAACAAATGTATGCTCTGCCCTGGGGCACCCACAGCATGTCTCCTCACGGATTCCATAAGAACCAAACCTTCTACCTCCATCAGTTTCAAAAGCAGTACAATAGGGAATCTGGGTAGGAGCAACATGCCTCAGGAGCTTCTGATTTTGAGGGAATTCAGAGACTCTGCATTCACATGGTATCATGCTTTAATTCTCCAAAAGTCAAAATGAAGAACACCTTCTTCAAGTACAGAGGCACTCCTTTCACTCCTGGAGAACTGGACTAGATGGAAGATGCGTTGCACAAAGCCAACAATCTTAAATCCTGAAGTTTCAATGGTCACTGTACAGTTTCCCGCTCAAGGACATCAGAAAATTATGTGAAACACACCTGAAGTACACCGGAAATATCTGATGGCGAAGAGGGAGCACTTGGGTTCAGTTGGAACGGGGCTTGTTCACCTTTGCTCACGGACTTGCTGGTCACTTACCCCGTGGATACCCCCCTTGAACATTTGCCAAATGACAAGGTCTCTTTTTGAAAAGGCAGCTTTTAAAAAGCCCCTTAAAGTATCAAACTATAGTATGGTTGGGATCTTAAAGAGTCATTGGGCAGCTCCAACTGAAAGGGAACCTTTCAGGAATCCAGGTACCACAGACACACCATCTGTGACAGTGAAGGTTTTGTGTCAACTTCAGTTGGGCCAGGATTCTCAGTGGTTTGGCAGCCAAGATGTAGTTACCCCATGATGAGATCGAATAGAAGGTTTTTGCTGGGTCTGGCTCCTGCATCTGACTGGTCATTCCACCTCCAACTCTTTGGTCTTGGGCTCCAGTAGCCTAATCTATTGCCTGCTAATCCTAAGAGTTGTCAGCAGCCTACCATTTTACCGGTCCATCCTGCACGCCTGAAGTCTCACCTGCTGATATTGGGACAGACTTAGGATGTGCCCACCTCTACAACTGTGTGAGTCATTTCCTTGATATACACTTCTCTCTATATACAGAGATAGGTGTCACTGGTTTTGCATCTCTAGAGAACCTACCCTAAGACACCCACTACCCATGGGGTATCCTTTTCACCTCAAACACAAGCACATTTTTTTCTTTTTTTTTAACTTTTAGTTGGTTCTGTTGTGATGTCATCTATTTCCTTTTGTATTTGTGTTCTTTCTTTTCCTTTGTTAGATTTTCCAGGGGTTTGTCAATTTTATTAATTTTATTAATCCTTTCAAAGAACTAGCTTCTAGTCTTGTTGATTCTTTCTATTGTTTCTGTTTCATTTATTTCTATTCTAAGAAGTATTACCTTTTTTTTTTTTCTTCTGGTCACTGTAGGTTTATTTGTTGCTCTTTTTCTAATTATTGGAGAAGGTACAATACGGTGTTGATTTTGGTTATTATTTTTTTATGTGTGTGTTTATTGTTACAAATTAGGGTAGCCACATATTGAAACAACCACCACTTCTTATAGATTTTTAGAAATATTTCATTAAAAACAGAATCAATAAAAGCATCTTTTCAAACAATGACTACTCTACCCCTACATATTCTTGACTATTTGTTACATGTATACACACACACATACTATAAAACATGGAAAATCCAATCAACATGTTGTTTGGAGCTTTTAAAAGTCAGTATGAAACAGGACAAATGAAGAAAACTTCTCAGATATTATAAAATATCTTAAGACAATGAATTGCTGGGTCTGGGGGCTCAGGACCATAGACTCAAGGGATATCATGGTTAATTGGCATAACATAGTCCACACAGACAATGTTCTATGTCCTACTTTGGTGAGTAGCATCAAAGTTCATAAACAGCCATTTGAAGTGCACCTATAGGTCTCTCCACATGTGGAAGAAAGAAGAGTGATGAAAATTTGAGGATGCTTGGAATCCACTAGTCCAATGGACCAATGGAACATGTAACCATCACTCTCCACAACTCTGAGACCAGAAGAACTAGATAGTTCCTGCCTATCACTACCAACTGCTCTGAAAGGGATCGCATTAGAAGATCCAGGAGAGAGTAGGAGAAAATGTGGAACAAAACTCAAACTTATGAAAGAAAGACCAGGTTTATTGGTCAGAAAGAGACTGGAGGAACCTGAGACTGTGGCTCTCAACCATCATTCAGGTCACTCAACTCACCCTTCTGGCCAATTACCAGCCAAGTAGTGGATAGCTAGATGGGGGGGTAGGGGGAGCCAACACTAGTAAGGTATGCTCACCATAGAATGGCAAATTTTTGAAGATCAAAAGGGCACCATTTGCTTAAGGACAACATTGAGAAAGGACGGTAATAGAGAAAAGATGGACTAGAAATAAGAACAACAGGAGAAAGTGGGATAATTGTTGTTATATAGAAGGAACTGCAGTCATTGAGATGAAATAAAGTGTATCATTTGTTGAATTGAAAACAGGTGACATTCTCTTCAAATTTTCACTCAATTCACAACAAAAAGTGTTTTTTTTTTAAAAAAAAAGTCAGTATGACAGTTCACATGAGCTTTGTTCATTACATACCCGGAAAATTTTGTTGGCAAACTTGCACACTTTTCTTTCCTCTGCGGGCACTCTCAGGAGGCACTCTTCACAACAGGCCTCCTTGTCTCTGTCACAGCTGCCAGGATGGGAACACTTCTTCTTACACACCACAGTAGAATCCTGAAGGCCAAAAGGCAAACAGGACATTAAAATTGATTTCTATGTCTAACAAACATCCTACTTAGTCTTTCTTTAACAGCCCATGACCATCTGACTTCTTTAAAACATACTCTATAGGTACCATGTTTCAATTTATTGTGATAAATAATTCATTCATTTAAAAAGGCTGTTGACTAAAAATCTGGACTAGAATAAGAGGGTGATACGAAGGGCCTGATCTATACTCTATATTCCAATGGCTTAGAATCAAATCCTTAAAAGTCATTATGATTCTACTCTGGCCAGTGAGTGCCAAGAAAGCCAAGTCACTATATGTGACCCTGATTCCTCCTTCTGCCCCCTTTTACCTTTTCATGTCCTGCATTAACAGTGTTCTTTTGGGTCTCTTCCATGGCTTTACACCACCTTATGGGCATTTAGCAGACAGACAGAATAGTTTTGATCAAAGAGTAAAAATTAATAATGGATGCTCCATCTCAAAATGAAATTCCTCTAGTATGTTTTGATCACTAAAGCACCCCATCAACAATTCCAAAACTAGACCTGGGTTCTAGAGTTCTGCTGTGAGTAGTATAACTTTAACCCCTGTTATTGTTGTTGTTGTTGTTAGGTGCCATCAAGTCAGTACTGACTCATAGTGACCCAATGCACAACAGAACGAAACACTGCCCAATCCTGGGCCAACCTCACAATTGTTGCCATGCTTGAGCCCATTGTTGCTGCCACTCTGCCAATCCATCTCGCTGGAGGTCTTGCTTTTTTTCTCTGACTCTCCACCTTACCAAACATGATATCCTTCTCCAGTGACCGGTCCCTCCTGACAATATGTTCAAGGTATGAGAGGCGAAGTCTGGGCTTCCTGACTTCCAAGGAGCACCCCAGCTGTACTTCTTCCAATATAGATCTTAACCCTAACCTCTGAGTGTGGCATATTTATATCTCTAACTTCAAGAGGCACTGTGTGATTGCTTTTTAAATGCTGTACAATAAATGAAACAACCAAATTAATTTTATATATTAATTCATTTAACTACACATTCAAGAAAGGTTTAGAACTGCTTAAGGAAAATAAACCTCTCTAATTCCCTAGTCACAAGATAGAATTTCTCCTGGACGTGGGCTGGAATGAAGGTAAAAGCCAAATATTTATGATGATACTATGAAAGAGAGATATGTTCTAGGGTAGATCAGTGATGCCACCAAAGTGTCTAGTCAGAGCAAGACCAATGACAGAGAAATGCAACCAAACCCAGCTCCAAGACCCAGGCCCTACTAGCAAACTTTGAGAGAGAACTCACTTCTGTGACAGAGACAAGCAGTTTTATGTGAACAGATCTTTGCAACGTTATGTTCATTCTATGACTTCAAGATGTGCCTTCCATACATACTATACACAAATTGACATGTTCATCTAAGTTAGTATGACCACGAGATACCTCTTTTTAAAATCATGGCATTTGATACTCTTTATTTTTAAGTTCTAGCTATATCATATATAAGAAGCACACTCAGAGCACTCTTCTTCAAAGTGATGATAGCAAGACATGCAATCAAGAGGGACGAGTCCCTGTAAAAGACTTCATTCGTGGTAAAGTAGAGGGTCTGTAAAAAAGTTCTCCCAAAATCAAGGGAATTGGGAATGCGGTGTGCTTCATCAAAAAAGCTGTAACCTATGAAATTTATAAATGGATTAACACAATGGCTACAATAATGGGGTCAAATATACCAACAATTGTGAGAATGATGCAGGATCCGGCAGTGTGTTGTTCTGTTGTATATATCAGACGCAACACAATGGTACCTAACAACAACAGCCACATGATGTAGTGGATAAAGCAGAGTCAAACAGGACCAAGTTAGAATTCCTATTCATTTATTAGGTTGCATATTTGAGTAAAGTCATTTCTCTGAGCCTCAGATTCTTCATCTTTAACAATGGAGATGAGAATACCTACCTCTCAGACTATTGTCGTTGTGGTAAAGGGCCATCGAGTCAGTTCTGACTCATAGCGACCCTATATAAGGTTTCCAACGAGCATCTGGTGGATTTGAGCCACCGACCTGGTGGTTCAAATTGACCTTGCAGTCCATTTATCCTACAGTGCCACACCAGTACTGTGGGGTTTATATAAAAAATGAGATAGACCTGGCATGGCATCTGGCACATAGAAATTATTATAAATCAATTCATAGATCAGAAAAAAATTAATCCTTTGTCAAAACATGTATCCTGACATTGGGTATGAAAAACAAAGGTGCTCGATAATTCTCAAATAATGTACCAATTACACCAGTAACAGGATATACAATGAGAATATGGACTTCTGTCCTCAAGGAGCTCACAGGGTAAGAAAGGAGGTAACCATGTATGCAAATATGTGTTATAATATGAAAAACAGAATTGGTAGAGTTCTAGAGGTAGCAGAGAAGATAGAATGATTACTTATCTAGGTGGGTAACCTTTCCAGACAGACTCTCTGAGCCTGTCCAAAGGAGGTAACCTCTGAGATGGACTATTGTGGAAAAAGAGGAGTTGCTCATATAAATTTGTAAATGTGAGGAAGGCAAAGATACTGTAGGAAGAGGAACCAGAAAGTTTGATGGTCCAAAGTCATGTAACCTTATTGTGTTCTGAGAACTATTAGACAGTTCCCTGTATTTTGTGGTGTAAATTGTGAGGAGCCTTGAATGAGGATGCTAGAGAGGTGAGCTCTAACAGTTAGAAAATAACTCGGATTACTCCATAAGATTGCAGCCTGATTCTTCAAGCATCCCATTTCCCAAAGATAACTGTGAATCCATTCACTGAAAGCAACCCTCTTGAAAGAACAGGATTAATTACACTGCTTGATGGACATATTGCTTATTCATCTCTAAGAGAATCCATGCATAACTAATTCCCATTCACAGGATGCCTGCCTTTCCTGCAATCAAGAAAATTGGGAACGTGATGTGCTTCATCAAAGACTTAGTATCCAAGTAAAAAGCTGTAACTAGTGAAATTCTTAGAGGGGCAAAGAGGTCTTGAGGCGGAAAGCCAAGGCAAACAGAAGGAGTTGCTATATGTTTATCATACAAACCACAGGAGAGGGGAAGGAACCTCAGGAAAGTATTCTCAGCCTGAGGAATTGCTCTGTGTTTGGTGCCAAGGAACAGATAGCTCAGCCTTACCCAGTCCCACCCCCCATGAAGTAGTGCATGCTACTTAGCAAATCATGCCTCAATAATCAGGAAATTCTGAACTTTAATCCTAGTTACTGACTCATAACATTGAGCAAATTTCCAACCCTCCTCTCTTTACTCCTTTAGATATTAAAAACAAAACAATAACCATCAGTACCAATATAAATAATGCTAAACTTATGTCTTACAAAAGACAGAACCTAAAAAGGACAGTCCTGGTGTGGTGCTGTAGCATAAGCACTGGACTGCTAATCAAAAGGTAAGTGGTTGAAACCTACCAGTCCGCTCCTCAGAAACCTACGGCGGGTCACTATGAGTCGGAACCAACTTCACAGCACTCAACAATGAAATTCTTTGTAATAAATGCTTATTTGATAAAATACTGCTCCACAAATATTACGGTACAAGCACAGTCTATGACTGTGTGCCATGTGTCCATTTAAACATCTGGAGCAGTGGAACTCTTTTTTTTTTAACCAGTCATTAGACTTCCAGATGTCGTTAGAGGAAAGGGAGCCATGCCTGGTTTAAGAAACGGCACACTGAGCGTCACATAAATACTCTCTCCCCAAACATCCAGATTTATTTTTGTGGTGAGCTGGAAATCTATGCTGTTCTCTTCTTCAGGATGTAATTAAAGCCATGCTCTTTGTCAAGGGTACTAGATAATTCAACTCAGATAATTAGAGCCCAGCAACTCTGACCCATGTATTTGTCTGATTTGCGAACGTTCCTACAGACAGACCTTCCAAGGTCTGTCTTGATTCTCACCACTAAGAGGTCACTTGTTGGTTTTCTGAAGTTATGACTCATACTCAAGGTCATAACTTCCTTGTGACCTTGAGTAAGATTTCATTCATAGAACAGGATCATTATCCTATGGATTTCATTCATAAAATGGCATCAACAATGCCTCCTCCCAATAGCATATCATCACTTCTGGTTAGCATGCTAACAACGAAGACCCCGAAAGCATACCATTGTTAGGCAGCAGCCCCTCAGTGCCACCTTACCCTGCAGGTGCACGCTGTGCAGTTGTCATAGAGAAACAAGGACCCATTGTCATACACATCACTGCGAAAGAGGCAGCTTCCAAAAGGGAGGTCAAACACTTTCCTCTGACCTAGAGGGAAACAAGAGCATAGCATCAGCAAGGCAGAAGCCAGAGTGTTCCAATTTATCATCAACAATTATATCACTGGTCAGATACCATGATCACAAGGCCAGGCAAATGTGGTGTGCAAAAAATCAAGCCTTAGATCAGATGAACCCAAGGGATTCCGGTGAGGCATTCATTTAGAGAGTTTTTGTTAAAAGAGCTCAATCTTCACATTCACCCCTGTCGGTTCAATACATCTTCATTTAAGTATCCATACAGTGAACCAAGATGGCTAAGGCACAGGATTGCTCTCATAGAACCCACAGTCAACTGGGTCTACAAACCCACAAGCAGCATTTAATACAACACTATGGTATGTGCTAAGCAAAAGGCCAGCTTGGGAACTGTGGAGACAAGGATGTCACATAAGACTTCGTTAAAGGATGTGATACCTGAGCTATGTCTTAAAGACCAAATAAAATTATCCAGGAAATAAGTACTGGGGGAGTTGGCAAAATGATTCAAGACATCCCAAGAACTGCAAAGAGCAGAAAGAAGAGTGAAAGAGCATCTATCTTGGCTATAGAAACTAGAGAATGAGTGGCATAAAGGGTTAAGCTAAGTCAAATGATACATAGAGGCAGAACTCAACTCCACCTGCCTGCCCAGTGTCCAGCCTTTCCCAGGCATTGGTTCTCTATAAAATGAGCCTGGTTGTTCCTGATGCTAAGATTGAATGGTGATCACAGGAGCAAAACAAGCAATTCAAGTACAAAGGACAATCCTAGATGGTCACATCTTTCAATATTTACCCTGGAGCATATCAGAACATCTTTGAAATGCTATCTAGTTAAGACCTAAGGAAAAAAAGCCAAGAATTAGGTTTATTTCTCAGTTTTACATCCACATTCATCTTCCTTCTTGTAAAATAATTATTAAACCAGTTGACAGCAAGTCAATTTAAACTCATGGCAACCCCATGTGCATCAGAGTAGAACTGTGCTTCATAGGGTTCGGAATGTCTGATTTTTCCAAAGTAGACAGGCAGAATTTTCTTCCGAATCACCGCTGGTGGACTCAAACCTCACACTTTCCAGTTAGCAGCCGAGAGCATTATTCATTTGCACCATCCAGGGACTCAGAAAAGACGAATACCCATTTCTAATTGCAGTAGGCTTAATCTAATGCTGGAAATACCTATAAACACATACTAAATGCTGTTCTCAAACCAGAAATGTGGGGACTATTGTTAGTTGTTGTTGTTGTTGTTAGGTGCCATCAAGTCAGTACTGACCTATAGTGACCTTATGCACAGCAGAATGAAACACTCCCCAATCCTGGGCCAACCTCACTACTGACGCCACGCTTGAGTTCATCGATGCTGCCACTTGGTCGATCCATCTCATTGGGGGTCTTCCTCTTTTTCTCTGACCCTCCACCTGACCAAACATGATATCCTTCTCCAGTGACTGGTCCCTCCTGACAATATGTCCAAAGTACGAGAGACGAAGTTTAGCCATCTTGGCCTCCAAGGAGCACTCTCCTAAATGGATCTATTGGTTCTTTTGGCAGCCCATGGCACTTTGAATATTCTCCTCCAACATCATAACTCAAAAGCATCAACTCTTCTATGGTCTTCCTTATTCACTGTCCAGCTTTCACATGCATATAAGGTTACTGAAAATACCATGGCTTGGATCAGGCACCCCTTAGTCCTCAAGCTGACATCTTTGCTCTTCAACACTTTAAAAAAGTCTTGTGCAGCAGATTTGCTAAAAGTCAAGAAAAAATGGTATCTTCCTATCAGAGTCAGCTTCAAGGCCAGGATAGAGTATAAATTCAAAATCTTAGTTTGGTTCTTGCCACCAGGTGCAAAGGTGTTGGTCCTCAAAAGATAATAAACTCACCCATTACCATTGAGTTGATTCTACTCACAGTGATCCGTATAGATTTCTGAAACTAAATTTTTATGATAGCAGAAAGATTCATGTTTCTTCCGAGGAGCTGCTGTAAATTTCAACAGCTGAATTTATGGTTACTTGTCCAGCGCTTATCCTACAGTACCACCCCAGGGCTCCTTTAAAAGATAATGCTGTTGTTATTGGTGTTAGGTGTCATTAAGTTGGTTCCAACTCATAACTACGTTACACACAACAGAGTGAAACACTGCCCTGTCCTGTACCATCCTCACAATTGTTGTTATGTTTGAGTGCACTGCTGCCACCACTGTATCAATCCATCTTGTTGGGGATTATATATATTTTTCACTGACCCTAATCTGTACCATGCATGATGCTCTTCTCTAGAGACTCCATGATAACATCTCCAGGGGCCTCCTGATAACATGTCCAAAGTACAGAAGACAAAATCTCGCTTTCCTTGACTTCTAAGGAGCATTCTGGCTGTACTTCTTCCAAGACAGATTTGCCTGTTCTTCTCTTAATTCAGTGTCCAACTTTCACATGCATGTGAAGCAATTAAAAATATCCTGGCTTGGGCCAAGCGCACCTTAGTACTCAAACTGATACCTTTGTTCTTGAACACTTTAAAGAAGTCTTGTGCAGCTAATTTGCCTAACGCAATATGTCATTTGATTTCTTGACTGCTTCTTTTAGGAGTGTTGAATGTAGAGCCAAGCCAAATGCAACCTTTGACAACTTCAATCTTTTCTCTATTTATCAGGATGTTAGTTACTGGTCCAGTTGTGAAGATTTTTGTTTTCTTTACAATGAGATGCAATTCACAGTCAAGGCGGTAGTCATGAGCTTAATCAGTATGTTATATCTTCTTTGCTTTCAGCAAGTAGGCACTATTATCAAGAGATATTAATGAGTTATAATTTTGATCCAATATGGATTGCCTCATAAGCTTGAGAAGACTCAATTACTTCAGCTGCAAAATGACATTATTAATTGTTGCTATTGTTGTTGTTAGGTGCAGTCAAGTTGGTTCCAACTTATAAAGACTGTAAAGGGTTTCCAAGGAGCAGCTGGTGAGTTTGAACCATGAACCTTGTGATTCAAACTGATCTTGCAGTCCAATGCTTATCCTACAGTGCCACACCATGATTCCTCTTACTAACACATCACCAGCTCTGGTTACAATATTTCTGTTAAAGTAGGCCACCAAACACTGGTTAGACAACAGTTAGCAAATGGTTGTATCTGCACCTTATAAACATTACTACTTTGACATTGAGGGTATTCTCATGTTCACACTCCAGCCCTGAGCTTTTTAAAATTCCTGAGAATTTACAGGCTAAGTTAGAGGATTACCTACAAAATGCAACATTCATCCTTTTCTTAAATTTACTCTAGAGAAAACTGTGTGTAGCCTAAATTACATAGATTAAGGCCACCCCAGCAAATCACTTCTGTCAAATCACACTGTGGTTTAAGAAATAACCCTAAGCAATTCTATTTTTGCATTACTATAAAAATGATGGTGGGTCTTCCTTCACTACTTTAAACACAGTCCTCCTAATATCAATTGAGAGATGTAGTTCTGTCCTTGAAGAATTAAATCAGCACTGCTTCATGTTAACTTATTGTTTTTAATTGTAATAACCTGGCTTACCTTTATCCTTTTTTTTTAATCTACATGTGCTTCATGTATTTTGTAAGGAGTCTTAAATATATATATTAGAAAAAGACAAGACATTCAAAAAAATATGAAGGTGAGTCAAAAATTATCCGTACTCTGGTTATGTTAAAATACCCATCCACATCCAGGCTGATGACAATGTTGAGCATGCCCGTGAAATGATTCTGTCAAATAGAAGAGTGACTATGGAGTATGTGGCAAATCATTTGCAAATCAGCTATGGCTGTGGCTATTAAATAATCCACAACAGACTTGGGGTTCAAAAAAAGTTTTTTACAAGATGGGAATCGAACCAACTCATGGAAGAGCATAAACAGACGCACTGGGACAACTACAAACAAAATGTGGAACAATATTTGAAGGAAGGTTTCTTTAAAAATATTACTGATGATAAAACGTGGATTCATCACTACAAGCATGAGAGTAAACGGCCGATTATGGAATGGAAATATCCTCAATTGCCAATCAAGAAAAAGTTCAAAAGTCAACCATCAGCTAGAAAATTGATGCTTACCATTTTCTGGGATTGTCAAGGGCCATATTGGAACACTATCAGGAAAAAGTTTAAACAATCAACAGTGCTCCTTACAGTGAGATGCTCACTGAAGAGCTGAAGCCTAAATTTTGGAGTAAACACAGAGAACTGCTACCCAAGGGCATCATGATCTTGCATGACGATATATGTCCTCTGTATACCTCTGCCCACATTGTTGACACTCTGCAAAAACTTTGTTTTGAAATGTTAAAGCATTCTTCCTGTAGTTCTGATCTTGTTCCACTGGACTTTCACCTGTTTGGTCTCCTGAAAGCAGCCCTTCATGGACAAAGATTCCCCTCTGATGAAGAAATGAAGACAGCGTTGTCTTTGTGGCTTGAAGCTCAGCTTAAAACATGTTTTAATAAGGGAACAGGAAATCTTGTTAACAGGTGGACAAAGCGTATTGAAAAGCAAGCAGACTATGTTGAAAAGTGATATATTTGTCCTTTCTAAAAGCTTATTAAAATAAATTCTACAGCCAGAATGTGGATAATTATTGACTCACCCTCATCTAGCAGTACAGTTAAGCCTTCCTTCTCTGTCAATCAAAATATGCTTTTCAGGCAAGAAGTGACTGGCTTACAAGCTTTCAAGAGGGAACCTAGATCCAGAGGGCATGGAGGAAGATAGAATCTCCACTGAGTAGTATCCAATCTGTCTAGGTGGGGCAGATGAAAGGAAATGCGGACAGGTCTCTTGTGGTACAATGGTGAATAATTGCTATCAGGACTGACTGTGAGGGTTGTAAATGTAAAGGTAGACATTTTGTAGCAAGGAGGGGAGTGATTAACTTTGCAGTCTAGGAGCAGAGGTACCTGGGACCATGAAGGGAGAAGAGCGGAGAGCGGGACCCTACCCAGAGAAGCAGTGATCCCTGAGATGG